TCTACCTTGTCCTAACTTTTCTCTGTGCTACAGCTTCTTCATCTCTGAAATAAGGACAATTATTTCTTCCTCATAGGCTTGTTTTGATGAGTGAGAGAGAGAACTAAGAAAAGCATCTCTTACAAAGGAGGTTCTTGTGTTGGTCCCTTTAACTTATGGCCGCATACCATACCTCATTGAACAATAACAAAAAATCCCCGTGACGGCAAGAAAATTTTAGGTCTGGCTTTAATTTGCAAAGTTTTGCAATTCACAGTATGATTTAATGTACATTAATTGCCCTCAGGGAACTCCTGGATCAGAACGTAAGTGAGTTACACAGGCAAGTGAGAACCTTACAAGATAAAGAAAATCTACTGAAAATAACCTGTTCTCAGCAGCAATCCAGGATTCAGCAACAAGAGACCCTCCTTACACAACTGGAATATGAGAAAAGAAAATATGATGAGGTAAGAAAGCAAATAGATATGCTTCTCAGTTTTCCTTTTTTCATAAATCTGAGTAATAAGGAATTATTATTATTGTTAATCATTGAGTGCTTAGCACTTTGTGCACAAAGTTTAGCCAGCGTTCGGTCAGGAAAGCAGAATCTACCCTAGGTATTTCAAGCAATAAGAGATTTAACATAGGGAATTAGATGCTTACAAAACAGTTGGAAAGGACTGGGGGAGAGCAGAAAGTCAGAACTTCTGCTGGCTTTCAATAAGTCCGTAAGTTCAGAAATCATACCTTCTACAACACCAAAGTGGGGAATTTGCGGGAATTCTCCCAGAAGCCTCTACAAATGTATCATCTGCTGTCTGTCCTTTCATCTATCTGCTAGTACCAGAGGAGAACTGTTACGGGAAACAAACAAATCTGTTTTTTCTTTCTATATTCACACCACTCTCAATATTTCACTTCTGATACCAGATGTGTGGTTTTTTTTCCCCCTCACTAAGCAATTCTCCAATTCTCTGTGAACACCAACTGGTTATACTTGAACTCAAATAAAATCTTAAACCCCCCAGCTGACTGAAGCACCCCCTCTTGGCCAAGGGGACACCAGAAAGACCTTAAAGCTGAGTTGCCAGCCAGGAGCAGAAGGGAGGTCAGACAAGCCTAATTATGCCCTCTGCCTTTTGGAGTTACTCTTTGTAATAATAAGACACTAAATCATTAATAGGACCTAAGGCCATGTAAGACAAAGTTTAAACCACACCTGCAGGTCATCAATTTACTTAACAGATCACTTGAGTCTTGTATGTCCTATGGCTTGTCTCCCATTAACAAACTTCATTATCTTAACTTAAAAATGTATAAAACCAAACTATAACCCAACCGTGGCAGGACCACTTGCTCAAGGCCTCTTGGGTGTGGCTCTCCAGGCCCAGAATAAACCTTCAAATTATTTTAAATTTTTTTCCATTGACAACACAAAGATTGAAGTCAATTCTGACATTATCTACCTAGACATAGCACCAGATGATGGCTATCTGAATAAGGACTAAGTCAGACAAGACTGCCCCCATTCCAGATGCCCAATGCAAGTCCAGGTTTTTGCCAGTGCTTCTGACCAACCAGCTATAAAACAGGTTCCCACATCTGCCCCCTTGGGTTTGATCATTTGCTAGAATGGCTCATAGAACTCAGGAAACAGTTTATTTACTAGATTACTGATTTATTATCAAAGGAGCCAACTCAGATGGAAGAGATACACAGGGCAAGGTATGTGTGAAGGGACATGGAGCTTCCATGCCCCCTTTGAACACACCACCCTCCCACCACCTCCACATGTGCAACAACCTGGAAGCTCTCCAAACTCTGTCATTTTGGGGTTTTATGAAGACTCAGTCACGCAAGCATAATTGATTAAATCATTGGCTCTTACTGATTAACTCAACCTTTAACGCTCTCCCCTCCCAGGAATTCTGGGTGAGGCCGAAAGTTCCAACCCTCTAGTCACATCCTAAGAACCCCCAGCAACCAGCCTGGCTATCCAGGAGCTCGCAGCCACCCATTTGCTCATTAGCGTACAGAAAGACACTTACCACTTCAGAGATTCCAAGTTTTTAGGAGCAGTATGCTAGAACAAAGACCAAAATATATATTTTTTATTATAAACCACAAGAACAATGGCTTTTACTTCACAGAGGGTTTCCAAATTTTGTGCAAGTTCCTCATTTGTAGGAACTAAACTTGAACCCTGCTAGCAGGGGAGTCTGGGAAATGTAGTTTCAGACTTCCAACCTCGCCACTGCAGGGAACAAAGGTCCCTGGCCCCATAAAGGTTCACTGAAAAATCACTGACATGAGGCAGATTGATTAATTGGAGAAAAAAAATACAAACTTATTTACCATGTATACACAAGAGCCTTCAGAATGAAAACTCAACTCTCAATGGGGTTTAGAAGCGTATGTGCCTTTCTGGTAAAATGACTTATGGGGGCAGCGGGGAAAGGGATTCTGTTGATTGGCAATAAAAGATTACTAGGGAGGATGAATAGATGGGGAATGAAGAGTAACTAGTAAATAGTTCTCTGTGGAATTTGAATTAGTCTGAGAGGCAGGACAGTATCTTCTTTTTTTTTTTTTATTTGAGACAGTCTCACTCTATTGCCCTGGCTAGAGTGAGTGCCATGGCGTTAGCCTAGCTCACAGCAACCTCAAATTGCTGGGCTCAAGTGATCCTACTGCCTCAACCTCCCGAGTAGCTGGTACTACAGGTATGCGCCACCATGCCCGGCTAATTTTTTCTATGTATTTTTAGTTGTCCAGATAATTTCTTTCTATTTTTTTAGTAGAGACGGGGTCTCGCTCTTGCTCAGGCTGGTCTCGAATTCCTGAGCTCAAACAATCTGCCTACCTCGGCCTTCCAGAGTGCTAGGATTACAGGCGTGAGCCACCGCGCCCGGCCTGGACCAATCTCTTTGCAAAATAAATTTTAGCTTCATTATACTTGGCCTGATCATTTGCATGAAGTGCAGCAAGAATGGTTATTGACCATATACGCTTTCCTTTTTTCTTTTTTTTTTTTAATTGGCTTTGCTGGAACTTTTTCATAAGGAATCTCAGGTTAGACTTAAAAGCTTGTCAAGCAAAGCCAAGGATTTAACTGTGCCTGTCAGTACCAGTATGAATTGGGTAAATTCTTCTTTTATCGAGGTCCCAAGGTAACTTGGGGTTCCTGGACCTGTCAGAAAGTGACGTTCTTTGCTTACCACAGGTCTTGAAATGTCATAGATGAGGTACCAGACCAGTTTTTTTTAAAAAGGGCTTTTTATTGGCTCTATAAGTCAACCTTAATCCCTCAAAGCAGTCTAGGTATAATAGGAGGAATGGCTTGAAAAAGGGTAAAAATGTTTTCTGTCTCTCTAAAACCTCCCCCACTCCTTTTGGGAATTAAAACCTGCATCCCTGACTAAGGCCAGTGGTCAGAAGGGGCAAGAGAGTGTCCTTTGTTCTTTGTACAACAGGACATGGCTCAAGGGAATTGTCTAGGCGGAAGTCACGAGATTGTCTTAGCCAAAGCTGGGATGAATCAGAACCATCAACTATAGTTGAACAGCAGTAGCCTAAAGCTGATAACCCTCTCTTTAAAAGTTCTGTATTCCTGCTCAGAAGCAGGATGTGGTATTTGAGACAGGAGTCTGCCAACCTCCTCATTTGCCGGCAAATTAATGAACTTCCCTTTCCCTCTCCTCAAACCATTTGTCCTTGTTCTTCTGATGCGGCCTCTGATGCAGAGGTTTTGGTAACATAGGCATTTCTGAAAATATGTCAATCCAGTCAAAGCCTTGGTAAAATAACTAGTGTCTTTAATTCTGTCATGTTGCAAAAGAAGATCAATTCTTATTGAACTTATACAGATAACTATATTGTCATAAAATAACAGTACTTACAAATGGTTTCCAAATTCTGGAGAAATCAAGTAGAGAGAAAAATAAATGCTTCAAATTGCTCACAAAAATATGCTTTAGCAATTTTGTGTAAGCTATAAATAGCTCAAAAGAAGAAAAAGGTTTTCTTGACTCCTAGAAAACAAAACACAAAAAGAATCAGTAATGTTTTAAACAAAAAGTCAAAAAATTAGTTTAGTCCCATATAATTAAGTTTTGTTCTGTTTGAAGTTGGGTTAGCAATCTTCATGAATGTACTAGCTTTTTAATTAAAGTCTTAGAAGCTTTCCTAGTCCAAATGATATGATCTCCAAAGTTATCAGTTTCACCTCTATTTATCTCTTTTTTTTTTTTTTTT